CTCACCCACAGAGAATTAAATGTGCAAAGAATTCAACTGCACAACACCTACTGGAAGTTTATCAATGTCCTTCTTGATAAAAGAAAGTATAAGAAACCCCTCATGGCCAAGATATGGAAGGGAATGAGGAAGGAAATCAGGTGAAAAGGGAGCTACAGATAAACATAAACCAGCTGTGTTAAATCTACTGAACATTTTAAGGAAAGATAGAAATTACTCCAGCGGAAATCTAGGCTCTCCAAAATTCAGTATCTAACATTAGTCTATCTTTTCAAAATTCTTAACTGTACATAATTAATTTTTATTTTACTTGAAACATTGTGACAAACAACAAACAGAAGTACAGAAGAGTCAATGAAGAGTACAATGAGAGCATGTAACAGATACTGGGAATGTAGGGTCTGACAGTACAGTTAAAAGTTCAGAAATCATAGAAGTTTAGAAATACAGAATTACAGATGACAAGAGACTCTAAAGCTGTCATATTTTCTTAATAGCAAAGAATATTTTATAGAAAACTAGCTTAATTTTAAAGTGTAGCTTTCCTTTAAAAATTTCTTATGCAAATAACAAACATGAGAGAACAAATGAGACTGTTGAGGAATAATTTGAGTTACAAGGGACTTTAGTCATCATCTCATCTAAGCCACACCCTTTTACAGATGAAGAAACTGAGGCCCAAGGAGGGGCTTTGCCTGACCAATGAATAAAGTTTTATATACTTGCAGATTTTTTATCTCCATCATATTAGATATATTGCCATCTCTCTAGACATTAGCTAAAAATGACCACATTATTTGTACCTAAACTTTGAGAATAGCTGTCGCCTTGTAGATTTTACAAAAATACATAAAAGGAAAAAAAGACAGCACTATTTCTTTGAACTGTAACCTCATTTTAGTTTCAGAATACTACCTATTCATAAACAATTATTCCATGAGGAGGTAAATGGCAAGCACAGCCTGATAAAAAGATGTGCTGAAATATTTATAAGAAATTACAAGCTTTTATAGCCCTTAAGGATCTTTGCTATTTTTAAATGGACCAAATACATATACATAAAATAGTCTTCTAGTACACTCCTAATTCCTAAATGTCTTTAAGGATAAATATATAATTATCTGATAGGATTTTTGACATTTTCTAACAATTCATTTATAATACTTCGGAAAAAGAATACACCAAGATATTAGCTTAAGAGGAGCCCAAATCTATCAATGCCTCATGCTCTCTTTTATCCCTTTAACCCAATGGGTTAACAGTCTTTATTGTACCACATATAAGATGACCATGACATAAACATAAAATCAATTAAAGAAAATATAGCGACTGTCTATTATGTGCAAGGCATTCAAATTGTTTGACTGGGCATAATCAGGTCATATTTCAAGTTTGTTACTTCAATTCCAAATAATGTGGTAATACATTATTCCAGAATTTTTTGGAACCTGGTGGCCCATTTTCTAAAAGTTGTTTTGAGTGCACTGGCATTTTGGACCTCTGTATTTCATGTTCTTTCCTCTTTCCCTCTGTGTTAGTAATAAACCATTTTGGAGATGCTCTCTCTTTGTCATATTTCACAGATCCTTTACTTTTGCTCAACCTTTTTGCATCTCCTCTTTCACCCTGTCCTTCCTGCCCT